AGTAGGCTCAGAAGTGAGTTCTGGCTACTAGGTACGATATATATATATATATATATATATGTCGTACCTATAGCCAGAACGCACTTCTCAGCCTACTATTCAAGGCCCGATTTGCCTAATAAGCCAAGTTTTCATGAATTAATGTTTTTTCGACTACCTAACCTACCTAACCTAACCTAACCTAGCTTTTTTGGCTACCTAACCTAACCTTACCTATAAATATAGGTTAGGTTAGGTTAGGTAGGGTTGGTTAGGTTCGGTCATATATCTACGTTAATTTTAACTCCAATAAAAAAAAATTGACCTCATACGTAGAGAAAAGGGTTGCTTTATCATTTCATAAGAAAAAATTATAGTAAATATATTAATTCAGGAAAACTAGGCTTATTAGGCAAATCGGGCCTTGAATAGTAGGCTGAGAAGTGAGTTCTGGCATATATATATATATATATATGTCGTACCTAGTAGCCAGAACTCACTTCTCAGCCTACTATTCAAGGCCCGATTTGCCTAATAAGCCAAGTTTTCCTGAATTAATATATTTACTATAATTTTTTCTTATGAAATGATAAAGCAACCCTTTTCTCTATGTATGAGGTCAATTTTTTTTATTGGAGTTAAAATTAACGTAGATATATGACCGAACCTAACCAACCCTACCTAACCTAACCTAACCTATATTTATAGGTTAGGTTCGGTTAGATAGCCGAAAAAGGTAGGTTAGGTTAGGTTAGGTAGGTTAGATAGTCGAAAAAACATTAATTCATGAAAACTTGGCTTATTAAGCAAATCGGGCCTTGCATAGTAGGCTGAGAAGTGCGTTCTGGCTACTAGGTACGACATATATATATATATAAAACATCCTCCGAATTGAATATATATATATATATATATATATATATATATATATATATATATATATATATATATATATATATATATATGAACAACAATAGGCAGACAACAATGGGGAGGGGAAGAGATGCGAGCACGCCAGACCTAGCTACGCTCTCAGAGAGTGGCCTGCTGGTTATAAAGATACGACCTGCCCCTTAGCACCAGCGACCACTCTATTATAGAATTCGACTGCATAGTTGAAATGAAGGAGGAAAAGTTGCATAGCTTGACTACAAGAGGGGAGACTTAGAGGAGAACAAGACTACAGGAGAGAAGACTACAAGAGAGACTACAAGAGGGGAGACTACAAGAGGGTAGACTACAAGAGGGGAGACTACAAGAGAGACTACAAGAGGGGAGACTACAAGAGGGGAGACTACAAGAGGGGAGACTACAAGAGGGGAGACTACAAGAGAGACTACAAGAGGGGAGACTACAAGAGGGGAGACTACAAGAGGGGAGACTATAGAAGGGGACATAACAGGAGGGTGAGAGTGCGCCTCCAGCAGGTCCCGCAACAGAGTGTGAGAGTGAAGGAACACCAACCTTAGAGGTCGGAGAGTACAGAGACCAGCCAGTAGACACTAGTATTTGTTAGCTTATTTACTGTCACAGACGTGGCCATACATTTATACACTGCTAATTAGCATACATACACCTCTTTCTGTCCCCTACACACAGGGTTAGTGAAGTGTTCTACACAGAGTGCAGCGGAGCCAGAGCACACATTCTCGTGTGTCTTCCATACACTGAGGAGTGTGAGAGACGAGTACACAAGGGATCGCCCCGGGAGGTCACCACCGTTTAGTCTACAAGTCTACAAGACAACAAGTCTTGTAGACTTGTTGCACACTTGGAGAGCATTAGGTTTGTAAACAAACATCAACATGGGTTCTGGAAAGGGAAACATGCCTAACAAACCTTTTGGAATTCTATGATAAAATAATAAGGATAAGGCAGGACAGAGAAGGTTGGGCAGACTGCATATTTCTGGACTGCCAAAAAGCCTTTGATACAGTACATGAGACTGCTATTCAAACTCGAGAGGCAGGCGGGAGTGAGCGGATAGGCCCTAGCATGGGTAAGGAACTACCTAACAGGAAGAAGCCAGAGAGTAACGGTAAGGGGGCGAGAAGTCGGACTGGCGAACAGTAACGAGTGGAGTACCTCAAGGATCGGTGCTGGGACCAATTCTATTTCTAATATATGTTAACGACATGTTTACAAGAGTAGAATCCTATATGTCGATGTTCGCAGATGACGCGAAATTAATGAGAAGAGTTGTGTTAGATGAGGATTGTAGGATCCTCCAAGAGAACCTGAATAGGTTACAGAGATGGTCAGAGATATGGCTACTGGAGCTCAACACGAACAAATGTAAAGTTATGGAAATGGGATCAGGTGATAGGAGACCAAAGGGACAGTACACGGTGAAGGGGAACTGCCTACCTGTGACGATTCGAGAAAGAGACCTGGGAGTGGACGTAACACCTAATCTAACTCCTGAGGCACATATAAATAGGATAACAACAGCAGCGTACTCTACACTGACAAAAGTTATTACATCATTCAGAAACCTAAGTGAGGAGGCTTTTATGGCGCTTTACACTGCATACGTGAGACCAGTCTTAGAGTATACCGCGCCATCATAGAGTCCCCACCTGAAGAAACACATAAGGAAACTGGAAAAGGTTCAGAAGTTTGCAACGAGACTCGTCCCAGAGTTACGGGGGATGGGATATGAAGAGCGTCTGGAGGAACTGAACCTTACGACATTAGAAAAAAGAAGGTAGAGGGGGGATATGAGAGGAACGTATAAAATGCTCAGGGGAATTGACAAAGTGGAAATAGATGAAATGATCACAGAACGAGGGGACATGGGTGGAAGCTGGAAACTCAGATGAGTCACAGGGATGTTAGGAAGTTTTCTTTTAGCGTGAGAGTAGTGGAAAATGGAATGCACTTAAGGAGCAGGTTGTGGAAGCAAACTCTATTCATAATTTTAAAAATAGATATGATAGGAAAATGGGACAGGAGTCATTGCTGTAAACAACCGATGGTTGGAAATGCGGGATCCAAGAGTCAATGCTCGATCCTGCAGGCACAAATAGGTGAGTATACACACACACACACACACACACACACACACACACACACACACACACACACACACACACACACACACACACAACACACACACACTAACACACAAGGTAACCAAAGTGTGCTGTGTTACCTAAGCCCACATGTGCTGGCCCTGCGGCAGGAACATGGCAATATGTGCGCCTGGAAGTCTTACACAATGGTGACACCTTCAATACAATTTCCACCCCCCCCCCCCCCCCCAAGGTCGTGACTACCCCGCCTCAAATATGACACTTTATCATTTCCGTCCCACCTGAGGAAATTACCCAAGGTCAATCTTTGATACATTTCCAGTGTTTCCTTAACTAGTGCGACCGGTTGCTCGAACAGGGCAATAAATCGCGCTGCCACTTGCACTTGTAACAACTAGCAGCGTGTGCAACTGAACCATTTATATTGATATGTGGATCCTTACTGACCATGACAGCCCGTCCCGCTGTGTGTCCCCCCTCTGATCCACGCGTCAGTGTGTCCCCTCTGTCCCATGATCCACGCGTCAGTGTGTCCCCTCTGTCCCATGATACATGCGTCAGTGTGTCCCCTCTGTCCCATGATACATGCGTCAGTGTGTCCCCTCTGTCCCATGATACATGCGTCAGTGTGTCCCCTCTGTCCCATGATCCATGCGTCAGTGTGTCCTCTTCTGTCCCATGATCCATGCGTCAGTGTGTCCCCTCTGTCCCATGATCCACGCGTCAGTGTGTCCCCTTCTGTCCCATGATCCATGCGTCAGTGTGTTCCCTTCTGTCCCATGATCCATGCGTCAGTGTGTCCTCTTCTGTCCCATGATCCATGCGTCAGTGTGTCTCCTCTGTCCCATGATCCAGGCGTCAGTGTGTCCCCCCCCCCCCTTCCCAGTGACCCAAAGCAGCAGGTTTTGGGTCCTCTGGCAGGTTAGGAGACCAGCAAGTTCTCCTAAGGGTTCAAAACTTCATGAAAACTGTTACTTTAAACTGTCCTTTCCTACCCCCAACAGACTCAACCAGAGGACCCAAAACAGAAAACGGGACAGTACGTCACTTTCGCGAGCCGCTTTCATTTTCAATTCCGGCAATATTTGGCCGTAGCGCGCATACGAGCGAAAAGCGACGTTATTTGTACGAGGACGGGTTTGTGAGAGAACATGTGCGATTGTAACCAGCGTATCTAACGACCTTAATCTTAGCATTAAGAAACAAAACAGTGTGGGGATGAGGGTGGGGTGGGGGTGGGGGTGTGGGTGGGGGTGTGGGTGGGGGTGAGGGTGAGGGTGTGTGGGGGGGGGGGGGGAGATGGGTGTTAACCACAACAACAGCTCTTTCTTGTGATTATGTTAATTATGTGGAGAACACTCTTGCCTCATACAGGTCAGCGGCCGCAGATAATCCCGAACTGGACACCTGGGTCGGTCAAGGCGAAGCTCACCACCACAACGGTATTTGGTGCCGCTAGCCAGTTATGTCGCTACTGTGGGGTGTGTGTGTGGGTGGGTGGTGTGGTGTGTGTGTGTGTGTGTGTGTGTGTGTGTGTGTGTGGGTGGGTGTGTGTGTGTGGGTGGGTGGGTGGGGTGGGGTGGGGGGGGGGGGGGATCACCAGGTCCCTGTAAGGCTGCCTGCCTGCGGTGCTGGCTGGGCGTGTCTCGTGTGGGCGTGACTGTGGCGGGCGTGACTGTGGCGGGCGTGTCTCGGGTGGGCGTGACTGTGGCGGGCGTGTCTGTGGGTGGGCGTGACTCGGGTGGGCGTGACTATGGCGGGCGTGACTGTGGCGGGCGTGCGGGCGTGACTGTGGCGGGCGTGACTGTGGCGGGCGTGACTGTGGCGGGCGTGTCTGTGGCGGGCGTGACTGTGGCGGGCGTGACTGTGGCGGGCGTGACTGTGGCGGGCGGAACTGTGGCGGGCGTGACTGTGGCGGGCGTGACTGTGGCGGGCGGCACTGTGGCGGGCGTGACTGTGACGGGAGTGACTGTGGCGGGCGTGACTATGGCGGGAGTGACTGTGGCGGGAGTGACTGTGGCGGGCGTGACTGTGGCGGGCGTGACTGTGGCGGGCGGAACTGTGGCGGGCGGAACTGTGGCGGGCGTGACTGTGGCGGGCGTGACTGTGGCGGGCGTGACTGTGGCGGGCGGAACTGTGGCGGGCGGAACTGTGGCGGGCGTGACTGTGACGGGAGTGACTGTGGCGGGCGTGACTATGGCGGGAGTGACTGTGGCGGGAGTGACGGTGGCGGGCGTGACTGTGGCGGGCGTGACTGTGGCGGGAGTGACTGTGGTGGGGGTGACTGTGGCGGGCGTGACTGTGGCGGGCGTGACTGTGGCGGGCGTGACTGTGGCGGGCGTGACTGTGGCGGGAGTGACTGTGGCGGGCGTGACTGTGGCGGGCGTGACTGTGGCGGGCGTGACTGTGGCGGGCGTGACTGTGGCGGGCGTGACTGTGGCGGGCGTGACTGTGGCGGGCGTGACTGTGGCTGGAGTGACTGTGGCGGGAGTGACTGTGGCGGGCGTGACTGTGGCGGGAGTGACTGTGGCGGGAGTGACTGTGGCGGGAGTGACTGTGGCGGGAGTCGTGACTGTGGCGGGCGTGACTGTCGCGGGAGTCGTGACTGTGGCGGGCGTGACTGTGGCGGGCGTGACTGTGGCGGGCGTGACTGTGGCGGGCGTGACTGTGCGGGAGGCGTGACTGTGGCGGGGCGTGACTGTGGCGGGAGTCGTGACTGTGGCGGGAGTGACTGTGGCGGGCGTGACTGTGGCGGGCGTGACTGTGGCGGGCGTGACTGTGGCGGGCGTGACTGTGGCGGGCGTGACTGTGGCGGGCGTGACTGTGGCGGGAGTGACTGTGGCGGGAGTGACTGTGGCGGGAGTGACTGTGGCGGGAGTGACTGTGGCGGGAGTCGTGACTGTGGCGGGCGTGACTGTCGCGGGCGTGACTGTGGCGGGAGTGACTGTGGCGGGCGTGACTGTGGCGGGCGTGACTGTCGCGGGCGTGACTGTGGCGGGAGTGACTGTGGCGGGAGTCGTGACTGTGGCGGGAGTCGTGACTGTGGCGGGCGTGACTGTCGCGGGCGTGACTGTCGCGGGAGTGACTGTGGCGGGAGTGACTGTGGCTGGAGTCGTGACTGTGGCGGGCGTGACTGTGGTAGAGGAGAGCCAAGGCCAGAGAGGGGTGCCAGAGTGCAGGGCGAGGCTGCGGCAGGGAGGGGGCGTTCGCCGAGGCAGGCACCCCCTCGCCAGGCACCTGCTCCAGGAGAAAGTTACGAGTTGAAGGCGTGAGGCAGTGTAGACGGGGAGCAGGAGCAGCAGCCAGTGTGAGAGAGTCCCTCAGTGTGCACGGAGCCACGGTACCGCCCCAGCACGTCACCCCCACGCGGCATGCTGCTACAAGGTACACCCTAACCAACCCGTTTTCTCTGGTGTCTTTCCTTGCGCTAGTGGTGCTCGAAGATGGAGTAGGGTTTAAGACCTGAGAAAAGTGTGTGTTCTTCTACGTCATCGCTGATCTATACACAAACCTAACTTAACCCAAGCCAAGCTAACCTAACCTAACCTGATGGAACCTATCCTAACCTTGCGGGGGATTGAGCTCTGGTTCTTTGGTCAGTGTGTGTGTGTGTGTGTGTGTGAGTGTGTGAGTGAGTGAGTGAGTGAGTGAGTGAGTGAGTGAGTGAGTGAGTGAGTGAGTGAGTGAGTGAGTGAGTGAGTGAGTGAGTGAGTGAGTGAGCGAGTTAGCACGTGCTTCCAATTACATAAGTGTAGTTAGAGGGCGAGACCTCGTGGTGTTCCGTCTTCCCATTAATGTCATGTATCACACTGAGACTACTGGTGGTTTGGGCATCAGTCGGCCTCTCACTTTACTTGTTACAACCTTCGCCATCTCTGTCCACAAAACTTTCGTATATTTTCCGACACCTGTGTTTCCTTAGCCAGAATCTATGAGCTCATGTTCTTGAAGCTGCAGGTTTAAAAAGTTCCGTTGTGTCTATTTTCTCGATTCATGTTATTATTTTGCATGTGTGCACTCCCTTAATTGTGCTTGCGGGGGTTGAGCTCTGGCTCTTTGGTCCCGCCTCTCAACTGTCAATCAACTGGTGTACAGGTTCCTGAGCCTAATGGGCTCTATTATATCTACATTTGAAAGTATGTATGGAGTCAGCCTCCACCACATCACTGCCTAATGTATTCCACCTGTTAACTTCTCTGACACTGAAAACGTTATTTCTAATGTCTCTGTGGCTCATCTGGGTACTCAAGTGTGTGTGTGTGTGTGTGTGTGTGTGTGTGTGTGTGTGTGTGTGTGTGTGTGTGTGTGTGTGTGTGTGTGTGTGTGTGTGCATTCACCTAGTTGTGCTTGCGGGGGTTGAGCTCTGCTCTTTCGGCTCGCCTCTCAACTGTCAATCAATCAACTGTTACTAACTACTATTTTTTTCACACACACACATCCAGGAAGCTGCCTGTAATAGCTGTCTAACTCCTAGGTACCTATTTACTGCTAGGTAACAGGGGGCATCAGGGATGAAAGAAGCTCTACCCATTTTTGTTTCTCGCCGGCGCCAGGAATCGAACCCGGGCCACATGTCCAGCGTGCTATCCACACAGCCAAACAAACACAACTAACCCAAGCTAGTTTAACAACGGCACTGAGCGACTAGTATTAAAATGACCACTTGCAACTTGCCCCTCGGGGCAAGATTATAGGAAATAAAACTCCTTCCCAGACTACCACACCTGTCAACTCCTTCCCAGACTACCACACCTGTCAACTCTTTCCCAGACTACCACACCTGTCAACTCCTTCCCAGACTACCACACCTGTCAACTCCTTCCCAGACTACAACACCTGTCAACTCCCTCCCAGACTACCATACCTGTCAACTCCCTCCCAGACTACCACACCTGTCAACTCCCTCCCAGACTACCACACCTGTCAATTCCGTCCCGGACTACCACACCTGTCAACTCCCTCCCAGACTACCACACCTGTCAGCTCCCTCCCGGACTACCACACCTGTCAACTCCCTCCCAGACTACCACACCTGTCAGCTCCCTCCCGGACTACCACACCTGTCAACTCCCTCCCAGACTACCACACCTGTCAACTCCCTCCTAGACTACCACACCTGTCAATTCCGTCCCGGACTACCACACCTGTCAACTCCCTCCCAGACTACCACACCTGTCAGCTCCCTCCCAGACTACCACACCTGTCAACTCCCTCCCAGACTACCACACCTGTCAACTCCCTCCCAGACTACCACACCTGTCAACTCCCTCCCAGACTACCACACCTGTCAACTCCCTCCCAGACTACCACACCTGTCAACTCCCTCCCAGACTACCACACCTGTCAACTCCCTCCCAGACTACCACACCTGTCAACTCCCTCCCGGACTACCACACCTGTCAACTCCCTCCCAGACTACTACACCTGTCAACTCCCTCCCAGACTACCACACCTGTCAGCTCCCTCCCAGACTACTACACCTGTCAACTCCCTCCCGGACTACCACACCTGTCAACTCCCTCCCAGACTACTACACCTGTCAACTCCCTCCCAGACTACTACACCTGTCAACTCCCTCCCAGACTACCACACCTGTCAGCTCCCTCCCAGACTACTACACCTGTCAACTCCCTCCCGGACTACCACACCTGTCAACTCCCTCCCAGACTACTACACCTGTCAACTCCCTCCCGGACTACCACACCTGTCAACTCCCTCCCAGACTACCACACCTGTCAACTCCCTCCCGGACTACCACACCTGTCAACTCCCTCCCAGACTACTACACCTGTCAACTCCCTCCCAGACTACCACACCTGTCAACTCCCTCCCAGACTACTACACCTGTCAACTCCCTCCCAGACTACTACACCTGTCAACTCCCTCCCAGACTACTACACCTGTCAACTCCCTCCCAGACTACCACACCTGTCAACTCCCTCCCAGACTACCACACCTGTCAACTCCCTCCCAGACTACCACACCTGTGGTTCGGGTCTTCTCTTAAACGACTATTAATAAATCTAATTAACTACCAGAGAGGTGCTCTGGTCCCCCGGGGTGTTCATCACACTACACTATACACCCACGAGTCCCCCGGGGTGTTCATCACACTACACTATACACCCACGAGTCCCCCGGGGTGTTCATCACACTACACTATACACCCACGAGTCCCCCGGGGTGTCCATCACACTACACTATACACCCACGAGTCCCCCGGGGTGTCCATCACACTACACTATACACCCACGAGTCCCCCGGGGTGTTCATCACACTACACTATACACCCACGAGTCCCCGGGGAGTTCATCACACTACACTATACACCCACGAGTCCCCGGGGTGTTCATCACACTACACTATACACCCACGAGTCCCCCGGGGTGTTCATCACACTACACTATACACCCACGAGTCCCCCGGGGTGTTCATCACACTACACTATACACCCACGAGTCCCCCGGGGTGTTCATCACACTACACTATACACCCACGAGTCCCCCGGGGTGTTCCCAACACCACTGAATTATTAAAGTTTTTACATTCTTGTACACTTATTTATGTATACAGTAGTTCTTGCATTCTTGTAAAGCCACGCATAGCGCTTCGGGCAGGTCCTTAATCTTAATTTCCGCCGGAATACGACCCACCAAATCGTTTAACAACCAGGTACCCATTCACTGCTGGGTGAATAGAGGCTACAATTAAGGATTGGCGCCCAGTCAATCCTCCCCGGCCAGGATGCAAACCCAAGACACATCGCTTGCGTAGCACGAGGCACGTGTCTTACCACTGACCCACGGGAACTGTTATTGGTGTAATGAATGTATAATAAAAAATGTACCTAAGAATTGCACAGTGTTGATCAATCAACACGGTTCTGAAAGACTCGTTGACCACTGAATATTGGTCAACGCCACGGTTGACTGTTGTGTTGCACAATCGCCAAAGATAGTTTTTAGAAATGCGAGTTAATATCATCTACTGAGTGCTGGTAAATTCTGAGGAACGAAGAACGCGGAGAACATGACAAAATACTATTTTCCACTGACATATAGTGACTTATGTCTGGCGTAGGACAAGGCTGTGCCCTGGTTCCATCTCAGTTACTCCTGAAGTACAATGAGCTCGTCTCGTGGTTTTCTTTCACTCGACACTTTTCATGGGAGACTGGTCAAATTAGCCTGGACATCCCCCAGTCAGTACCCTGAACTATGGTGTAACGAAGACTGACCTGTATGTGCCTTCCTAAGATGACTCGAGAGTTCCGATTGAACTCAAAGTCGAAGAAAGTCAAAACGTACGATGTTTCCATAAATCGACAATGTTTTTATGTAATGTAGCTGACGTACATTGACAACACTTCCCGCCCTCCCAGTAGCTGACGTACATTGACAACACTTCCCTCCCTCCCAGTAGCTGACGTACAGTGACAACACTTCCCGCCCTCCCAGTAGCTGATGTACAGTGACAACACTTCCCGCCCTCCCAGTAGCTGATGTACAGTGACAACACTTCCCGCCCTCCCAGTAGCTGACGTACAGTGACAACACTTCCCGCCCTCCCAGTAGCTGAAGTACAGTGACAACACTTCCCGCCCTCCCAGTAGCTGACGTACAGTGACAACACTTCCCGCCCTCCCAGTAGCTGAAGTACAGTGACAACACTTCCCGCCCTCC